CCCCCCCCGCATAAATTTATTTCAGCCCACTCGGCATTTATAGATTGTTGTGGCGTTATTATGCATTTCAAAACAAATGCACAAACTCCGGATCATTTATGCGATTGCACTCGCCTTGAACATGTTAAACGTGTGCTATACATTCCTAAACGGTAGGTGGCAGCACTGCTGTCAGACAGCTGATGTGACAACACAAAAACAGTCAGACGACAACAAGCACCACAAGCTATGCGAGGTTATTTTCTAGGTGAGTGACGACACACGTGCTTCCTTTTACTGCAATGTTATAACGTTGTAGCACTAGGATTTAACAGCAAAGTGAAATATAATGTTCAGTAATCGCTGATCCGGTGAAAATTTGAAGAAAAAAAATCCCCTCGCCCGTTCCCGTCTGTCGATTGTTTTCAAACAATGCGTGCAAATTCGCTGGACTTGAAGACAGCACACGACAACACGTTCGAGTGTTCGTTCAACACTTCATTTATATTTTGGCAAACCATTTTTTAATCTGACGTTTGTGCCAATTATAATAACGAATAGGTTAGGTTAATCTCGCGAGATCTTGAAGGACGACAGAAATGTGTTTTTTTATGTCAGTTAAAGAACATTATTTTTCAAGTGTATTTGCTCTATTTGGTTCCTTTTCATTAACTTAATAACATTGGATTGTAGTGACTGGTTGGGGCTCCAACATGCATAGTTTGGTGGTACAAGCTCTTGCCATGAGGCAGCTGGGAAGGCTGAACCCGCGCCATCTACTGGCTGCTGGATATGGACCCGCACAGACTGAATGGTGTCCCAGAACTATCCATACACGACAGCTGTGGGGCTGCTCTGCTTATCCCACACTGGGCTGCCACGGGCCGGCTCTCTGCAGCAGGGATGCCGTCAGGACGTGGTCTGTCCATCAGCTGAGGTTCAAAAGCAACAAGAAGAAAGGTGCTGCTAAACCAACGCATGAGGAAGAGGAAGACACTGAGAGCAGCGATTCTGAGGATGAAGTGGATGAGGAGCCAAATATGCCAAAAGACTATAAAGACATTGAGAAATATGTGCAATCCTTCCGTTATGATGTCATTTTAAGAGCTGGCTTGGACATGGCGCGCAAGTAAGTCTCACAGATTATATGACACGTAACAAAACCTCTACCTGATATGTTGACAACTAATAATATGTTTCTACCCTGCTAAAAAAAATAACAACATAGACTAGCCTGGATTTGTTGTTTTCTTGCTTGTGTCACCAGCTCCGATTAGCACAACAGGGGCATGCTGTTCTCGCTGCTGTCACCAGCGGCAAAAGCACAATAAAAGGAGCCAAGATTCGAACATGCGATCCCTCGGTCACTGGGTAACCCGTTCTACCAACTCAACCACAGTCACCCCTGCAAGACCAAAATGCTCTTGTTGCGCTGCTGATAGCCGGTGACACCAGCAAGACTAGGTGGTCACCAGTTGTTACTAGCTCCTGCCAGGGTCCCTGCAACATGCTGGCCCTGCTAGGCGGCTGTAGCTCAGTTTAGAGAGCGGGTGAGTGAAGTCCAGTGAGTGACGGTTTGGCCTTTTTGAATCTTGGCTGTTTTTTTTTTGCCAATATCAAGATCAGCATGACAAAAAACAAACAAACAAAAAAAACATACTGGTCTCTGTGTGGTCGAGTGTGTATCACCTACTAATAACATGAATGAAGGTAATTTGAGCAAATGTGTGATTTCAGATGTTTCTATCAAACTGGTAGCCCTTCACACTAATTAGTAATATCAAAGAAGTAGCTCTCGGTTTCAAGGTTGATGACCCGTGCCTTAGATTGTGCAATTGTTTGTCATAAAGTGTCACGTGTTTTCTTGCCGTCTGGGCTGAAGTAAAATGCCGTTTTTGTTGACAATAACATGTTTGGGGGGGAAAAACTCGACAGGAATCAAAGACTTGAAATACTGTTCCGTCCATCCAATGACCTTTTGTCTTTCCAACAGCAAAATTGAAGATAGCTTCTACAGCAACAAGCTCAGACTAAATGGACAAAAGCTTATCAAGAAAAGTAAAACCGTGAGTGTATCCCTACTACTAATTCCACACATTTCTTGTACCGTTTATATTGACAATCATGTTCTATATCTAGGTGAGAGTTGGGGACACTTTGGACCTGGTGATGTCAGAAAACCAAGATACCAACACTGTGACTTTAATGAGAGTTATCCTGAAAAAGGTTTTGGGTGAATCCACTAACACAGAAAAGTACAAAGTTTCTTTAAGGCGCTGGAAGTTTATGACACTACCCAAGGAAGAGGCCTTCAAGCCTTGAAGTTCATAAACGTTGCAGTTGTTAATAACATTGGCCAGTTAAGGCACTACATGGACATGCGACATTGTTCATATGACATCCTCTGCGATGTGTCCACAAGAGTGTGATGCGGCCACCTGGGAAGATAGATCAACCGTTCTGATTCCAGACATGGAAAAACATGTTCCTGCTGTGCAATAAATGTGCACTTGGATGAACTCTGCATAGTTTGATGACTTGAATGAGCCTACCCACTTCCAACTGTTTTTGATGGAAATGTTAACTTAAAAGATGTTCATGTAAGATGAATGCACCGGTAGGGCAAAATCGTACCATTGAAAGGTTCATTAGTTCAGGTTAAAAAAAATACATATTTACAATACATTTCTGTGCGCCCCCCACTAGTTTAAAATCAGCATTCCGATTAATGTTGCATTTGTGGAATATGAATTACTGGTAAGCAGCAAAATCCATCCATTTTTATCCATCCGGGAAGACCACTTGCCATTGACTATAAATGACATGATAGTGCCAGTAATGTCAAAATGTCATCTTGTGAATGTCACAAGACCAAATCCAGAACAGGTGAGCCGTGATGGTTGTTTCCTAAACCTGTCGGCTCTTTTATGTCATGCTCGGTCAAGAGCAAGCGGTGAAATGAACACCCCCGGAGACAGCTAAAAATGACTGCATTTGGTTTCCCATTTTCGACAATGTCAATCAGAATGCCGTGTTTAACACTAGTGGCAAGCACATAGAGTATATTGTAAAGAAAGTTTTTGACTTGACTTCCCATTTAATACTTTGCCAAAACAAACTGGCACAGCATCTCAAAAAAAGGGCAGTTCATCAGTGTTAACACAGTACCTTACCTTAGAGCTGAACAGGAGCAAATCAAGAGTAAAAGTCCCAAAGTGTCATGTGATTTTATTCGAAATAAGTGCTGAACCACTGTCGTGTTAAAATGTTTTTCCGTAATATAAACCTCTATAACAAGGCTTAATAACAGCACGTCATTAAAACCGGCGATATAATCCAACATCAGTAACTGAGATTTCTGCTCATTTAGAAAACTATACTATGAACTACTTTTCTTATTGTCGAAGGCTACGGCAATGTTAGATAAGCTATGACAAGTTTTGGCTTAAATAGAAGCTTTTGTCATATATCTGGAGCCTGGAGCGGGATGAGGAGTTGTACAGAAGAAACACGAGACAGGTTGGCTTGATCCTAAAAAGGACAGGTTTGTAAAGTTAAGCTTATATGCTGTGCAAAAATGGGGGCGTGGGGGTGTGAGAGAGAGAGCGAGACAGACACTATAACACAGAATTTGACCTTTTGGCCTTCTTCAGAATGTCACACTTTTTCCGATTGGGGCGCCTGCAGCGTTCATCGATGCTCGGCACGCACTCGTAGTGCCACACTTCCTCCATCTTGTCCACAGGATACACCGTTTCCACATAGTGACGGATCAGTCTGAGGCGTGCGGGGTCCAGCTGCTTCTTGTTGCAGGCCCCGGAATGGTTGTACTGCAGGCGCAGGTTCTCCTGGGTGAAGAGCTCAGGGAAGAGGCGTACCAACAGTCGGGCGGCAAAGTTTCCAACCGAGAGGCTCTGCTGCACTATTTCCCGTATCTCCACGTCGGAGAGGAGGTACGCTGGCGGAACCGGGAAGTCGGGTTGTGAAACGATCAGTTCATCCAGGGGAATTTTGCAAAAGTCTTTTGTGCTCTTCTCAGGCGGTAACGTGGGAATATCCGGATCCTCCCTCATGCCGTCTGGGTGGATCTGGTTGAGGAAAAATTCCTGCTCTACATCGTGAGCGTAGCCTTTGCGATGCTGCAGGTAGGATCTCCTCTGCTCCGTGTCGCGTCTCCGGCACCTCTCGTCAAGTTTCCCCACAAATTCCAGCATCCACACTCGGTCATTCCTGGCCCGCGGGTAGACCAACTGCACGTAATGGCGGATCAGGTTCACCCGTTGGGGATCCAGCTGCTTTTTCCCCAGAGAACCGCTGCAGTTGTACATCTTCCGCGTGTTCTCGTGGGTGAAGAGCTCAGGGAACATGTGCACCAGCAGCCGGGAGGCAAAGTTCCCAATGGACAAACTACATTCGTAGTTACACTTCAGCTGCTCCTTGGACAAAAGAAACTCCCGCGGAACAGTAAAATCCGGTATGGGGATCTCCAGGTTGTCAAAATCTACGGGTGACAGCAGCGACTTTTTGGGCTTGCGCGAGGGCCTTTCATTGTCACACATCTCCGGAAGCTTCAGGACGGAAATGTCCTCGGACATGCTGGCCAGGTCATAGCGTTCGTCGTTGAGGTTCTCAGGTTCACTCGCATTACCGTTGCTGGGAGGACCATCAAATGCATCATCCATATGCTGAAGGCACACCTGAAGCCAGCTCTCCTCAGGCACATCTGGAAAATTGGTTTCCATATACTTTTTGATGATTTCCATCCTGTCCGAGTCGAGAATCTGCTGGCCGACACCGTTCAAACAGTTTGAGCCCTCCGGCACTTTTGTCCCCTCTTCAAAGAGCTCAGGGAACAGTCGATGCATCAGGAAAATGACAAAGTCTTCGGGGGACGAGAGCTCATCCAGGTCCTGTGCGGCTTGATCGTTGAACATTCCCGCCAAGCTGCCCTGCTCATTGTCTTGAGAGAGCTGCTCGCCGCGACCTTGCTCGTTTACCAAACGATAACTCGGAGAATGCTCTGCTTTGATTCCGTCTCCCGCCATTGTCTGCTTCCTGAGCAGCCGGGCGCTTTCCATGTCTCTGTGGGCCCAAAAGCGATTAAAAAAGTCATTAATCTGAGGGAGGCACTCTCCCTTCCATACACCGTTGTTCTTGACTGAGGGATAGCACGCCTCCACGTAGTTGCGGATCAGCTGCAAATGGAGAGACTCCAGCGATCGCTTGGTTGCCATGCAGTCATGGGAGCAATCCCTGGCTTTGAACAGCTCTGGGAAGAGATGCACCAGCAAGCGACAACCGAGCTCTCCCGCGCTGGACGTCTGCCTCATGAGAGGATTCAACTCTTCGCTTGTCAGCAAATATTCCGGTGGCGGCTGGAACTCGGCCACCATCTGCGCCGGTTTGATCTGCTTCTTGATCCGCATGACTTCCAGACTTAACAGGTCCACCTTGCTGTGCAGCTGAGTCATGCTGGAACTGAGGCTATTGAGAATGAAAAACATTTTTTCAATTAGAGGAGAAATGCTTGAGTCCTTTGACCACGTTTGGCCTGAATTGTCCGTGCTTGGAAAAAACTCCGAAAAGCCATTTTCCTGGGGACTCAGGAGAGTGGAGGAGAAGTGGCCGCTGGAATTGTGCAGATTTCCAGAAACTTGACCTGCTTGCTGCTCGACATTCTGCGTGTTCTTCTTCTCTAAGATTCTGTGGGAGATACTGAAGAGAGGCTTTCTGAAAGAAATTCTGGATTTGCCATGGAGGTTGTCCCTCGTCGCTCCGCTCGTGCTGAGACACAGAGGCTCATGTCTGCTACTCTCATCTGCTAACTGCCGCTTCATCTAGAGTGAATAACAAAAGGCAGATAGAATTAGGGCAATATTTCAGACCTGACAACTCGGGCTGAACGATTGATCAAAATCGTGATCTCAGACGAGGCCATTTTGTGATCATCAAAGCTGTTTGTTTTTAAAGTGCCCCAAAGTTCACTAATCAGAAGCGGCATATGGATAGGTCACGCAAACCAAATCGGTTCAGAGTTGTTTTAAAAAAAAAAAAAAAACCTGTGACGTTCATATCACTCAGGCACCCGTCCTCCCTAAGTCCCTCCTTTTTTTTTTTTTTAAACATAATTTGTAAACATCCATCCATCCATTTTCCGATCCGCTTTACCCTCATAAGGGTCGCGGGGTGTGCTGGAGCCTATCCCAGCTGTCTTCGGGCAGTAGGCGGGAGACACCCTGAACCGGTTGCCAGCCAATCGCAGGGCACACAGACACGGACAACCATCCGCGCTCACACTCACACCAAGGGACAATTTAGAGTGTTCAATCAGCCTGCCATGCATGTAATCGGTATGTGGGAGGAAACCAGAGTACCCGGAGAAAACCCACGCAGGCACGGAGAGAACATGCAAACTCCAGACAAGGAGGCCGGAGCCGGGTTCGAGGAGTGAATATTGCCCTGAACCATAATTTGAAAAAAATATCTGCCAGAAACATCGCAAATCAATCTTTTCCGACACATTCCTAACTTGAGAGGTAAAGTCATGAGTGTAGCATGAGAGCGAGTTGTTTTCATCGAACTGTGATCTGCTTCTCAGACTGCCGGTGAACTCCGTGCACATGACCACCGTCGTCGAAGGAGCTCGGGTAGTGCAAGTTTGCGCAGTGAAGAAACACAGCATTGAGTTGGCTTGGCCTTTTATGCAAATTAGTCACACTGATGAACTGAACAATAATCAAAGAACCGACTTTACAATGCAGAGTGAGCCGCAGTACGTGTTGTCCTAATTCGGAGCGACTACGCCTGCATTGCAAACAAAGGTTTAAAGACGGTTCCAATTTCATCTTGGAATGGATGCATTGAAGCGACTTGATTTTCTATCGGAAATAAATTTGATTTGAACTCAGAATAAATCAAGAGTCAGAACAGCGGAGGTGTTTGTGTTGCCTCTAATGTTGATCAACAAATTGTGAAGCAGTGTATTTTGAGGTAAAATGGGGATGGCACTTTGCAGGTCTGTATTTTTTTTAAATCGGGTGTCCTATATTAACGATCTGATTGAATCATCTGTGAAAAAAAAAACTCACCTCTTCTGCAACTTTGACTCTCTTGCCGCTTGAGAACTGTTTGGAGTCTCGTTCCATTTCTGAACAAGTTCGTTTACCGGCCTCAATGGTCCCAGGAGAGTCCCCTTCACGCTCTTCGGGTGCCTCGCAAAAGGCAAAATCCTCAGTCTCGTCTTTTTTACCATGCTTGTGTTCTGCCAAAATAAGAAGATTATCATGCCTTCTTATCTTCAGCCACACTGAAAAACAATGATATGTTATGAACGTCAATCTACTGGAAAAACGTATACAGTGTAAAAAAAATAAAACGAAGATCCCCAATATAAATTGCCCCAATTAATCGCTGACTACAATTAGAATCACACCTCAAATAAAAATATCTCCCATCATTCCCCACCCAAAAAAAAGCAGGTGTGTTGCCACAGTTCTAGCAGATCTTTTAATATATATGTTCACATTGCAAAAACATATGCAACTTCTAATGTGAACGCACGGCGTCCGTGATGTGACATGCATGCTCATTTGAAAAATGTAAATGTAAGAATTTCAACTAAATCTACTTATGAAATGTAAAAATCAATCGCAGTTTTCACAGGCCCCGATTGTTATGTGCGTAGCCCAGATTGATAATTAATGTCATACATTATTCAATATTTGAGACTTGACTGACACATTCAAGTTTTGAAATAACGCTTACCTTTTTCAAGCATTTTTTCATCTGGGGCTTCCTCACACTTGGAGGAATTCATAGCCTTCAAGACAAAAATCATCATTATGTGCTGTCAATCAAACACTGCGATACATCAGAATAACTACTCACAACAATTTTGAGATGTTATGCTTTCGGGGGAAATTTCAGGATGACCCTAAAATGCACTACAACCTTTACAGGTGACCTTAATTTGACCTTCTCTAAATTATTGAATGTATATGTCCCACTTTTCACTCTTTCAGTACATTTTACAAATTTTTTTTGTGTCTTAAGGAGCTTCGCAGTAAAATTCACAGCCGGTGTTTGATCCATGAAGCCACCAAGACATTTCCAAGGAGGTCCACTTCTATGCCTTTCTGTGACTCATTCATTCTCTGTGCTCTTGTGTCAACCTGTAGGCACAGGGAGGAATGAAATATATGTACCGGCATTACGGACTCGGGATACTTTATTTTATTTTTTTTTAAACTATACTCTGTTACAGTTACAGAAAAAAACTTGAAATCAGATTACAGGTTCATCGATTGAAATTAAAAATGTAGATTATTTTGCAGGATTGCATTTTTAAAGCTGGGAGAGAGACAGCGCTTTGATGTCCTTGATCACCCACTGTGTGTTCAAAGGCAAACAATATGAAAGAGGACTAAATAAAAACCAATTCCAACTGAACCCAGAAATGCATCAACCACATACATTTTGCAGTGCAGCTCATTGTTAGACAGCAAGTCGTGCAAGTAGTTGGACATGCACATTCAAACATTTAGATTAAAATTGAGTAACATCTATTTTTAGTTCATCCTGAAATTTAACCAGAAAGGCCAATATCCCTATTTTTTGTGAGTACTGTTTATAATTATTGATTCTATTTGACTTAATCATCATATGATAAATCTTTTTTTTCCTCACCTGTTTACTGTTCCAGGGTGCTTTTTAGACTGAGCTACATCTTTCATTTTCTTTTGTAGTCCGTCTGCCACAGATCTGTGACCAAACAAACAAAGAGGCGTGGGGAAAGGTTATCCGTGGGGTGATGTATTGTCTTCTGTGGACACATGGCCGAACATTGCTGGCGATGAAACAGAGACGTGGCACATCATGTCATCGAAGAAGCCGTTAACTTGTCAGTGTTGTTGCGCACGCCAGCACAGTGACAGAGCATGCGGCGTGTGATGGCATCATGTGTCACTGACTCATTGCAGGCGAGCCGATGTGACGCCGATTCGTCAGCTGGACGTCCCACTCTACTTCCGCATTCCTTCGCCCGACAACCCTTGAACCAAAACACACCAGCAAATCCTGCAGCGCGGAAAGCGGCTACTCGCAGTCCCACGCGTAATCAATTTCTTGTTTTCGTACCCAGATATGTGTCAAATGGATCGGCCAGTTTGTGTACGATGTGTGAATTTGAGTGACGCGACGGTGTTTGCGAGGACCAATACCTCGTCCTGCTAAAGCTATTGCTAATTTGACGGAACAGTACTGTACGAAAAGAGAAATCAAGTGTCCATGTAGTTAAACGCTCACCTTCACGAGTGCGTGCAATCCTGAGCGGACATGTTTGCACAATGTCACCGCGTATAACGGTTGGCACCGTTGTTGACCATGATTTCCCACTGTCCGTCCACTGCTGTGCTTTCTCGCGTGACGTGTTGTGACGTCACAGTGCGCGCGCCTGTGTGTCATTTCCGCACATCTTGGTGAGCGACAATTTTTACGAAGTTGCAATTTTGCCATCACTACATTGGCAGTTAAACTTTTAATGTTTCGTCAGCAGACCTTACGTCATGTGAATATTTTTTTCTCATTGAGAAATCATTTGGAACAATGGCAATATTACCACCCAAATCAAAACTTCATACCTCAAATCCTGTGCAGAATGAAACACTCTTGTTAAAAATAAATAAATATTCCAACTGTACATGCACATTTATATAACTCATATCATGTTACCACATGAAACACCAATTTCATAAATTCTGTTCGAACCACTGCTGTGTTTAACTTAAAACACTTTGAGCAATTCTACCGCAGTGATTACAATACTATAACCAAAGTACACAGACATGGTAAATTAACCAAACACAACATAAGATCAATGCTGCAGACTATTGAAAATATAATTTACAGTACCAAGAAAAGAATACTGTCTCTATTCATGTGAAACATGGAGGAGGCTCTGTTATCCTCGGGGACTTGCTTTGCTAAATTTGGAAGAGGGTCTCCTGAATCCGTGCTGGATAAAATGAAATCTCAAGACTACCATGGGATTTCTAGAGAGAAATGTGCTGCCCAGTGTCACAAAGCTTGGTCTTGGTCGCAGGTCATGGGTCTTGCAACACGAGAATGACCCAAAACGCATAGCTAAAAACACCAAAGAATGGTTTAGAGCAGTGGTTCTTAACCTGGGTTCGATCGAACCTCAGGGGTTCGGTGAATCAGTCTCAGGTGTTCAACAGACCCTCTGCCATGGAGGTTAAGACACACCCGACTCAACATGTCAATTAGTTATGACATGCCCGCTTGGCCATCACTGGCTGGTTCATTTTGTGGACAATTAAAAAACTCATACTTTATACTTATATGAGTTGTGTTTACTTTTTCCTGTTTTTAATAAATGCATTTTTATACGTCTTGAATTTGTAAAAAAAAAAAAAAATATATATATATATATATATATATATAATTTTTTTTTCACTAATGAAGGGTTCAGTGGATGTGCATGTGAACTGGTTGGGTTCGGTACCTCTAACAGGGTTAAGTAAGAACTACTGATTTAGAGCAAAACAGATTATTCTGAAGTGGCCTTTTACTGCATGAAGCCTGACTTAAATCCTATTGAACATCTGCAGAACGAGCTGAATCATGGTGTGTTGGAAGCACCCTTCAAACCTGAGACAACTGGAGCTGTTTGCTCATGAAGTGCAGAAGTTCGATTTAAACTTGCACAAATCACGATTGCCTCTAAAGGATGCGCAATATATTAACTTAAGTGTGCCATCATTTTTGTCGAGGCCTGTGTCATGGGTTTGTTAATCCTGTTGAACCACAATTCTAACGCAATGGCTGATTTTCATTGGTTAATTATCCTTACATTTGTATTTAGTGTTACTTTTAACAGATCCCATTTTTTTGGTGACCGCCGTAGGTTTTTTTTTTGTAACAACGGGGTACCAACAATTTTGTCCTCAAGTGTACTGTACTGCAAAACTGTACATGCAACGTAGGTTTACTGACGGTTGATATAATAGGGAAAACAGCGTTCTCGAGTGGCAAGAGCGTGTAATAACAGTTTAATGGATCTGCACACCGTGCTGCGTAGTCTTTGTCATGCATTAATGCCTTGATCTTTTGAAAACATTTCTACAGTGGTTAGATATCCAAAGAAAGTAATATTTGATCAAAATCGCTTCGTCATGTGTCATGATTTCACTAAGCCAATGCCTGTTGCATCCATCCATCCATCCATACCTGATCTGCTTATCCCCACGAGGGTCGCAGACGTGCTGGAACTTATCCCAGCTGTCTTCGGGCAGTAGGCGGGGTACACCCTGAACTGGTTGGCAGCTTTGAACTGGTTGCCAGCCATCCGCAGGGCACACAAAGAAAATATCCATTCACACTCACAGTCATACCTAGGGACAATTTAGAATGTTGCATTACTTCCCAGTTCCCATGCATGTTTTTTGTTGTGTTGGAGGAAAACGGAGTACCGATACCCCGAGAAAACCCATACAGGCACGGGGAGAACATGCAAACTCCACACAAGAAGGCCGGAGCCGGATTGGAACCCACAACCTCTGCACTGTGAGGCGGAATGTGCAAGACACACGGACAACGATGCTGCATGCCTTATTTTGTACAGTATTTGATTTAAATGTATGTTTTTGTCATGTATTGGATCTAAAATGGTCTAGCGGCAGCTGCATCCGCGGGACTGTTCCATACAGAGCCCCAAAGGTGAAATGGAAGAAAAAAAACCAACCTTGCATTTCTCCGCAAAGATAGAGAGATAACGCAAACCGTTTTTTTGTTTGTTTGTTTTTACAAGGGGATGCTTTTTAAAATGTTCTTTTTTTTAATGCGCGCTCATGTACTTCCAGGTCAGCTTGGCTACTATAGACTCTCGTGTGCAGCTGATTGAGAGACGACACGACTTCGGGGAAGGAGAGAATCATGGAGGACTTGGAAACTGTATTCAAGCTCAAGAACAGATTTAATGTCTTTGTATTTCAAGCCAATTTCAAAGTACTGTAAAATCACATTAAACTCACCAATGGGTGAAACCACTTCATGTTTGTTGTTTTCAGTTACTCGGAAGATGACCCGGAAAAACATGAAGCGCGTGCCAAAGTGGTGGTATTAGGAGGTAGATTAAGTTGGGCAATTGCCCCTCCGTTTGTATATCAACATTTTTATGGATAGTTTTGAACAGAAGTCAAGTGAAAACAGCAAGCTTTCGTCAGCCACATTAAATGACGCTTAGGGTGTGACCTGGCCTGTGTCTTGCAGGTCTTGAGTTTGATCCCCCTGGACTTGAGCGTAACAAGTGGTTGTAGACATTTATATTCAACATTGCTGCTCAACCGCTTTTCGATGATGAATGAAGCTTTCGGTGAGCCGAACAGAAAATTCCATTTTAATTACTGCCGATTTCAGGCACATACTAACAGCCAATGTTCTGTCCTGTCCAAAAATACGTTGACGGAGAGACGATGTAAGAAGTCAATGTGTTGGCTGATGTGATTCTCATTAGTCGGCTAATGAGCTGTCTCCGTGGCAGTCTGGTCTCTGTCGGGCAACGGTACGAGTGCAGCCTGTGCGGGAGGAAGCGCGGCCCGGGGTCAGCCAGGCGACGGCGTGCGGCACTTAACACAGGAAGTAGCTCATTAAAGTGTCCTTTTTAACCAATATGATCATCTGTGTCAAGCAGGGCTGCTCAGCCGTACTTGCGCCATCACGGGAAAATGACTCTCATCCATCACTGTTCGAAATACACTCATATTACTGTCATAGGTGTTTACCGAAAGACCATTCGGAATTGCACCAGTGGAGAAGATAAGAACGCCTTTATTTGTCTCATAATGGAGAAATTCGCAATTGACAGCAGCAAAATTTTGAAAGGAAGAAAGTAGAAAAACAAAGTATTTGCATGTACAAAATATAAATAAAATTTTTAACCAATATGATCATCTGTGTCAAGCAGGGCTGCTCAGCCGTACTTGCGCCATCACGGGAAAATGACTCTCATCCATCACTGTTCGAAATACACTCATATTACTGTCATAGGTGTTTACTGAAAGACCATTCGGAATTGCACCATTGGAGAAGATAAAAACGCCTTTATTTGTCTCATAATGGAGAAATCCGCAATTGACAGCAGCAAATTTTGAAAGGAAGAAAGTAGAAAAACAAAGTATTTGCATGCACAAAATATAAATAAAACAAAAATAAATGTAAAAATCAATTGTACACAGTACAGAAAAGCAATATTTGAATATATGCTTATAACATATAAGCATATGTAAGCTTATGTTAAATTAATAATTATTTTCATTTTATATTTGAGCATTATGTTCTTTTGTGTTACAGTTACCTAGGTTATATTCCGTTTAATAATTGCTTAAACATGTTTATGTTGATATTATATGATTGGTTAAGGAAACCAGGAAGTGTTTGGTGTTTCCGGGAAGGAGGTGTGTTCTTGTTCGTTCGTTCGGAGGTGCAGACTTTGGGAAAATAAAAAACTGCCTTCAAAGGATTCCATCTCTCCTTTTGCCCATTTTCAAAGTAAAGCTATCCACTACAAAACTACGAACCTCTCAACTTTCACATATATGCACCTGCATATAAGCTGCATAAGGTGGCTGTGCTATTAAAAACGGGTGAGTGGGGGTGAGTCCAGGTTTGCAGGTGCTTCGATTCAATGGCCTGACAGCAGTCGGCAGGAAACGAGCGGCCGTACCTCTCTTTCTTGCAGCGCGGGTGTGTGTATCAGTCTCTGGCTGAAGGAGCCACCCAGTGCTGTCAGGGTGGCCTGAAGAGGGTGGGAGGGCCTGTCCATCATAGCTTTTAGCTTGGCTAGCATCCTCCTGTTTCCCACCTCCTCCAGACTGTCCAGGGAGCAGCCCAGGACAGAGCTGGCCCTCCTGACCAGTCGGTCCAGTCTCTTTCTGTCCCGGGCTGAGATGCTGCCTGACCAGCAGACTATGCCTTAATGAATGGCTGAGGCCACCACAGAGTCATAGAAGGTCTTAAGGAGTGACCCCTGAACCCCAAAAGACCTCAGTTTCCTGAGTAGGAAAACTGAGGCCCCTTCCTGATCTAGCCACACATTATAGATATGGTGCCGTTGCAAAGAAATTTATGAAAACGACTGCCTAAAGAAAACATGCAAATTTCCATAGCCATTGATGATTTGGCGCTGTATCTTAGGCAAAAGCACTGTGGAGATGACTGTCATTACACCTTCAATGAATGCACAAGTTAACATTCACACTCTGGACCCTTTTTTTTTAAACTCACATCACCACTGCGTGAGTCTTGCTTGGATCTTCTCTAAGCTGTCCTTTCTCTATGATGAATCAGAAAAATTGAACGGACTCAAGAGTCGAATTAGCACTTTTCCCCCTTTAGATGGAAAGGATTTTCGAGGGGACATTGCAGAACGTTCCGAATACGTATGTTAGTGATGTTCCTGAACGTAAAAAAAAAAAAAAAAATGTAAACAATTAAAATAT